CAAAATAAATCTTTTAAAAAATTAAATTTTCAGCACCTGAATCATTTCAAATATCCAGAAGAACTAAATAATTTACTCCTTGTCCTTTTCAGTTCGCATTTCATATTCAGAGAAGGCCGTACATTACATAAGTAAAGCATGGGATTCATGGACTCCTTGGACAACAGAGATTTTGTACACTATCTACAATTGTATATATGTGGATTTTTCTGACGAGTGAATATGTAAATTGCATCAGAATATAACAGGGAATTGTATCTCAGTTATGAAGCACTAGCCTGCCAGGCTTGGTGGCACATGCCTTTAGTCCCAGCAATTAGAAGGAGGAGGCAGGTGGATCTCTGTGAGTTCAAGACCAGCCTGGTCTACATAATGAGTTCTAGGCCAGCAGGGGGCTACAGGGAGACCCTGTTTCAAAAACACAAAAAGAAAAAAACTGGCCTACATCCCTGGGATGTGTGGTAAATGCTGAGGGGGGGAGGAATGACAGGGAGAGACAGTCCATCTCCCCGCTTCCTTCTCATCAGTCAGAACTCTGTCCCACAGGGTATTGAAGAGGGAATTTTCTATTCCACCCCACAGTTTCTAGTAGTCATTATGTAATATTGCTGAGTCTCAGTCTCTCTCTCTCTCTCTCTCTCTCTCTCTCTCTCTCTCTCTCTCTCTCATATGAATTATATGAAATTGTTTTGAACCAGTTTTTTTTTTGGTCTTTTTGAAGCAGGGTCTCCCTGAAGCAGGGTCTCCCTGTAGCCCCAGCTGTCCTCTCTAGACCTGAGACCAGTGAATGGTTTTCTTTAGTTCTTCCTTGCAGCAGAGCCCAGTTCCAGTGTGAGATAGCAGGCGGACAGCCCTAGCGTTTTAAGTAGATCATGATCCTGCTGTTTGTTTCTCCACCATCCCTGCCCCTCGCTCGTTATAGAAGAACTTGGATAGGCATGTAAACTGATTTTTTTTTTTTGCTTTCTTTTCTGCACCTTCTAAAAGTTATTGCATCAAAATGGAAAAGTTTTTTTCCTTCCATCTCACCTGTTGCCTTTTTATCTTTCATGACAAAGCTAATCTGAGCCCCGGCTGCCTTTCTTAAGCCAAAATTACAATGCTTTTTCCTGCTGTTTTTGTTTCTTCTTGTGACAAAATATTACATTCCATCATTGAAAAAAAACTTGGGTTTTGTGAAGCCTTTTATTTTACTGCAATGGTACAAGTGTCCATCTGCTTACTATTTTTTAAAAAATTGTAGGTCAGAGTCTCTGCAGACATTTGGCTTCCATACCTGACACTTAACATATTAATCATTTTGGAATATGGAATTCATACTTTTTCTTACATTATGTTCCATGATAACGTGCTAGTTGAAAACCACGAAACCTTTAGGGGATATGACATACCTCTTTATTTCTAGTCACTGGAGACCTTTACAGAAAAATAAGCTTCCTACTTAGTATAAGGAAATTTCTTTTGGGAACTCTTTGCTCTTTGGAAAGTAGGTTCTTTAGGCCATCTTTTAAACTTAATTTTTAAGAAAATTTCCAACATTATCTAGTGAGTTAAAGCCAATCACATTATATTTATAAGCAGAGACTGTTTTGTTTTTTAAATTTTCTTCTTTAAAAGTCACTAAAAGAAAATGAACTGTTAAATGTGGCTGTATTTGAGCAGTGATCTGTGGCTAATAAATTTTCTTCATGTTCTAATTTTCTTTTGTCTGTGTTGTTGTAAAGCGGGGAGTGGGAGATCCACCCAAAATTTCTCTTCTCAGCACTTACCTTTCTAAGCCAAAGCATAGTGTCAGTAGTGGAGGAAGGCACTCTTCTCTCAGGCCAGCACCTGTTTCTGTAAACAGCATTGTATTGGAACACAGCCCCATTGCACTGGCTGTTTACATGTTTGTGACTACTGTCATGCCTCTGACAGAACTGAGTAAGCACAATAGTTCTTTTGGCTCTCAAGACTAGCATTCACCATGTCCTTTAAGAGAAAGTTTGCCGGCTCCCTGGCATGCATGGTGGTAAGGATGTGCTATAATTGTCATGAGCATTTTTTTTTTTTTTTTTTTTTTGGTCTTTTTGAGACAGGGTCTCCCTGTAGCCCCAGTTGTCCTGGAACTCACTATGTAGACCAGGCTGGCCTTGAACTCACAAAGATCTGCTGACTCTACCTCCCAAGTGCTGGGATTAAAGGCGTGTGCCACAACACTTGGCTCTTTCGGTGGTTTTGAGACAGTGTCTCCCTGTAGCCCCCCAGCTGGCCTGGATCTCACTATGTAGACCAGGCTGGCCTTGAACTCACAGAGATCCGCCTGCCACTGAGTGGCACGTACCACCACACACGGCAAGAGCATTTTTAAAGTACAAACTTTTTCCACCTTTGCTGATAACAGTTTCCCTCTTTTCTTTTCTCAATTCCAGCCTAAATTAACAATGGCAAAATGCAGGCGAAATGTGGAGAATTTCCTAGAAGCTTGCAGAGAAATCGGTGTGCCTCAGGTAACAGATGTGTTCATTTTCTTGTGTTGCTTAAATAGACCTGAGTGCTTTTGTCCTAAAACTTATCAGAGGTCCAGGTCACAGAACCTTACCAGGAGCAGCTTTGAACTACGTTAGTCACTGCTAATGTGATGTGTTACTAGAACCAACCAATATTTCCCCATCAATATTCTTTAAATTTTTCCTCATTTCCAAGTATCTTTAAAGAAATCATAAATATTAATTTAAATAATTATGGTAAGTAATTAATGAAAAAGAATTATTAGATTTCCTTAAGTATCCCCACTAGCTGTTTCACTTATATACAGCTACACACAACAGAATCCGTTCTTTCCAACACTTGAAGTATATTGAGTTTGAAAACATTTAAACATGTTACCAAAACATCAGAGTTCCTATTCGCCTAGATGCCCTGATGTCTACATCAACTATGCAAATAGTACAGTTGCACAAACTTAAGTAATTCAAATGATAATACTATTAGCTAAATTACAGGTTTTATTCAGATTTCACCAGTTTTCTACTAGTCTCTAACACTTTGGGAATTAGCACACTAGAGACCACTTGGAAGCAGTATCCTATATAAGGATATACTGCATCTAAGTTCCTTAATTACATTTCTTGCCATTTAATAGTACTATAGTCAAACTTTCTTTAGAGCTGTGATGAAGAAAAGGAAAATGGATACACTGTTAATTCAATGACCCTTTCAAAAAGGAGCCAAAGCAAGCATAGCTGGGCGGGCCGGCACACACCTCTAATCCCAGCACTCAGGACGGAGGCAGAGTCAGCAGATCTGTGAGATCATGGCCACCCTGGTCTACATAGTGAGTTCCAGGCCAGCTGGGGCTACAGGGAGAGCCTGTCTAAAATTTTTTTAAAAGGCATAATACTCTCGGGGAATATAAAATTGAATGATAATGGTAGACAGATTTTGGGCCCCACTATTTTGCTCAGGCTGGTCTCAGAACTCCTGGGCTCAGGCTATCTTCCCACCTCAGCCCCCCAAGTACTGAGACTGCAAACGTGTGCCATTTGGTAGTTTCTCTTCTTTTCGTATTATGTTTCTTACTTGTTGGAGAATGAAGCCTTATGTGTGCATGCTAAGCATGTGTTCTACCACCAAGCCACCCTCTCCAGGCTCTACAACGCTTATATTTTGTCTAGTCTGCAAAGAAAAAGGTACTAGCTCCTTCTGTCACCTTGTTGATTAGCTATCTGAAATTCAGGATTGGCCTGGCCTGTCAGTAATACCACAGTTTTGCTCAAGAGCTAAGCCCTTAACCCCCATAGCTTGCTCTGGAACACTCCTTCCCAGCTCATCATCCTGCCCTAGCTGACCAGTAGCCGGGAAAGCCACAGCAGCATGTGTCAAAGTGAGTACACTTCCAGCCTTAATACATTACAAAGTAGAAGAGAAAGAGCCAGCTCCCATCCATATCCACACTGGCCAGCGCGAACTCCCAAGCTGCCTTTTGGCCTTTATTAGGGAGATCATTCTACTTTTTTTTGCCCCACCCCCAAACTTGAATAGGACTTTGTTTATTCCTGGGGACCAATTCAAACCAAAAATGTTCACTTTTATATCATTGTTTTACAAAGGTTTAGCAACCATTTTAAGCACAGCAAGAGGATATCTACCATATTTTCTTTAAAAACTAGCACGTATATTCTCCACAATAACGGGTTCTAATGCTTCTATATGCACATTAACTTCAGTTATTCCTTTCTTAGGCCAGCATGCCTAGTGCCTGCCCCTGTTCCATACCGTGTCTTAATAAGAGAGTGTGGCATTGCTGGTGAGAGATTGGGAACCACAGAGAAGCAGCAATCATGCTGACTTAGTCTGTGTACACTTGCTAAAAGTACTGCTTAGCAGCTTTGACAGACATAGCTGCCCACTTGACTTGACAGAATCATCTTCCCCCTTAGATATAAACCTTAACTTGGAATTCTTACAGGATGTTACTGCTACTAGTCAGCAAAATATGAAAACAGTGTGTCTTAAAGCATGCATTTAAGTGAGCATTTTAAAAGCAGGGGTTGAGAGCACTTATTATAATCCACGCACCCGTCTCCACCAGAGCTGTGCTATTGGAAGGCAGGTACAGAGGCAGAAAGAGTACAACTTTAAAAGACTGAGTCCTTCTCCAGAGTAGTTAGACTGGGGATCTTAGCATCCTTCCTCCTCCCTCTCCTGGGCCCGAAAGAGGAAGTGGCCATTCCACGCAAACCACCTCTTCCTTCTCCCCTTCTGCCTTCCACCTGTCTCCACCACCACCACCAATTTTAGATGCTTTCTGCTGAAAATTAGTCATTTGTCTAGACAGAGTGAAAGAAAGTGAATGAATACACAAATGGATAGATTCGAGCTAACACTCTCAAGATCCCTCTGCCACAGGAAGGAAGAACCTTCTGCCTCATCTTGCTCTGTTCTCTCTCCTTTGGGCCTTTATTTAAGCACTTGATGCTCAACTTGAAGACTGAGTTGGATTATGATAGCATCTAGAAATATAAAGCAGGAAACTTGTAAGAATGTCCGATTTCATGTCCAGGTAGTATGTCCGAAGACAGTTTCCCTTCTCAATATAACTTTAAAGTGTATAAGTTAAATTATGAGCTAGGCACGGTGATGCACGCCTATAGTCCTGGCACTTGGGAGGTAGGATCAGGAGTTCAAAGTCATCCTCAGCTACATAGTGAGCTCCAGACCAGGCTGGGGAAAATGAGACCTTGTTTAAAAACAAACAATAAGTAAATGAAAGACAAATGATAGGCGGAGCGTGGTGGCACACGCCTTTAGTCCCAGCACTCAGGAGGTAGAGGCAGGTGGATCTCTGTGAGTTCGAGGCCAGCCTGGTCTCCATAGTGAGTTCCAGGCCAGCTGGGGCTGCAGGGAGACCCTGTCTCAGAAAGACAAAAAGAAAAGAAAGATGAATGACAAAGTGAAGTTAAATTATGAAGGAAAACAGGCTGGGGCTGTGGCAGTGGTAGAATGCTACCCTAGGTTTGAGCCCTAACATCACCCCCATCCTGCAAGATGTATTAAGGAAATACTAAAGGGTGAGGTGACTGAGAAAACCTCTGGAAAGGAGGGTATATGGATATGACTTTATTGTCATGCTTTTATTAAACATTTTACATTTTAAAAAAGAATTAGATAAAAAATTGTATTTGAGTCCAGTATCTTATGTCCTAGAATTATTGTCTGTGTTAATGGATACCTTCAAGTTGTCATGCTCACTAATATTTTTATTACTGATGGGTTTAGACATGCCCTAAGGTCCCATTTGTGTTGTAAGTAGTAGTGAACTAGTTGCGGTGACGATGGGCTTGATCTGATGGTTCAAGTACGCCCGGCTCTTCAGCATAAACTTCCCGTCCTTGGCGCGCCCCAGTGAGTGACCTTTCTCTGTGCCCTGTTCTTTGTTCGCTAACAGGGAAGGATGGGGTCTGAGAGCAAGGCTGCGTCTCACTCACCTCCCCACTTTCAGACCTCACACAGCTCTGAGCCATGGTCCCACTCTGTTCACTAGATCTTAGTGTTGAAGCTGGCCACCAACAAGTGTTACTGTGCTCAGCGGTAAAATCATCTCTGTGCACTGATGAGTCTTGTTTTTTCAGCATTTTCTTATTGATCATAATAAAAATGCTGCAGGACAGCCAGGTGTGGTGGCACACGCCTATAGTCCCAGCACTCGGGAGGCAGAGGCAGGCGGATCTCTGTGAGTTCAAGGCCAGCTGGGGCTACAGGGAGACCCTGCTTCAAAAAGACAAAAACCAAAAAAATGCTGCAGGACATGTGCCTTTGAATATGACTGCTGATCATAGTGAATTCTGTGCTGCCTGCATTCTACTCCACTGACTTTGTTTTTCTGTTTTCCTTTCCTGCTCACACTTTGGACAGGACAGTCTCTGTTCCCCCTCCGACATCCTTCAGCTAAGCCTCCGAATTAAAAGAACTGTGGAAATACTACTTTCTCTTGAGGCACATGCAGAAGAATCCAGTTTTGTCTCGCTGTCTATCCAGCTCCTGGGTTTTGTGGCATTTTACTGTGCTTTAATGTTAACTCTCTGTGTCCTTTATTACCGGGTCTTCCCCTCCAGCTGAAAGCGCGTGCCAGTGACTCCACCTCATCCTTGTGCTGCTTTCTCCTGCAGAACTGTGTACATACTTTCTGTTTCCTTCCCTCTTGCCATCAGTGCTGAGTAGCAAATCCATTCTCATATGTTGAGGGGGGCAGCCCACTGCATAGCATTAATCATGGCTAATAGAGCAGGAGACCAGCATTTTCTCTCTAGTCATTTGCCCATTCTCCTTGCCCTGTAGCCTTGTTTCTCAGATAATGAAGGCTGAGGCCTTTCTACCATTACAGTCCTGAGCCCGTTCTGAGAATATGACACAGAAAATTTGGGCCATCTTTTCGTACTGTGACCCTACTTCAGTTTTGAAGTCCTGAATTTCAGAACCTTTAACAGCTGCTAATAAGGAAAATATTGGTGCCTTTTCTGGTTTGGGTACCTTGTGACTTAGATCTCTGCCCTGAAGTCCTAGCTTGCCCTTAACTGGTAGACAGTATCTGCACATTTAGAAGGCACAGGCCATTTAGACTTACCAATTTTAGTTTGGTCAGAAGTTTCAGTTGAAGGTCCTGTAGTTTCCCTAGATTCCGAGTCCACCATACACATCTGAGATAGTGCACACTAGGCAGCTGACTTAGAGTGTGCCTCTGAGGAGGGGGTGCTGGCCGTGCTTGCCATGTATGCTTGCTGTAACCGATTCACGTCTATAATCCTGTTTCCAGTGTGAAAGTTTGGAGTTTATGTAATCTCTAACATATTTGAGCCATCCTTAAAGGTGAACCTTGTATTTTGTAGGCTGTTGGGGAGATTATAGTTGAACAGTAGCAGGTAAAGTTAGACTACAGCCTCTGCTTGTTCCCAAGGCAATGATTACTGTCTCTATCTTTCAGAATGCTTAGTAGTTAATTAGCTTCTGAACCTTAATGCTGAAAACTACGGTATAATTTCATTCAGATTCCAGTTCTCACAGACGGTGTTTCTGAACATCTAGGAACATTCTCAAGTCTGTTAACAAAATTGGACAACTCCTCAAGCATGAAGGGAGATTGCCAGAAGCATAATGTCGTTATAGAATTCAGCCTGGGGTCTGGTTGCCTTCTCCTCCATATGCAGTGGGACAGTTAACTTACTGCTCACTGTTAATGCTGACGCATTGAACATGGTGATACACAACAGCGCCTTCCCGAGTTCGGTTTGTGTTTGTTGTGTTTTTAAGATGTCTTGGAGTCCTTAGTTCTGTAGTTTTGTCCTTTTAACACAAACACACACAAACACACAGACGCTTTAAGCTAGGTGTAGTATACATGTGTAATCATAGCAGCTCTTGGACGGCTGAAGCAGGAGGATTGCTGTGAGTCTGAGGCCAGTCTGGGCTGCATAGCAAGACTCTTTAAACACACACACACACACACACACGCACGCACGCACACACGCACACGTGTGTGTGTGCCAGTTTTCAGTTTAGAATGATCATAGTATTTCTTAGGAAACACCACATTCCCTCTAAGCCAGCTGGAAGGTAGATGTGTGTGGTTAGCACCAGTCTCTGAGGGATGTCTAGACTCATTGAGTGGACTGAGTGGACTGGCCCCTGGGGGCTGATGAGAAGAAGATGCCTCTTTCAGAGCAAAACAGTATGCAGATTCATCTTAACACAGTTGCTCTGTACTTGCAGAGATAAAGCACTAATTCAGAACTGCTAGTTTTATTAACAAATCAAAAGATTGCTGTGACTTGTGTGTGTGTGTGTGCGTGCGTGCGTGCGTGTGTGTGTGTGTGTGTGCGTGTGTGTGTGTGTGTGTGTGTGTGTGTCTTTTTGAGACAGGGTCTCCCCATAGCCCCAGCTGACCTGGAGCTCGCTAAGTAGACCCAGGCTGGCCTGGAACTCAAAGAGATCTGCCTGCTTCTGCCTCCCAAGTGCTGCGATTAAAGGCATGCACCACCATGCCGGGCTATGGCTTTGTTTTATGAAAATAAGCATTAAGTACAAAAGAAAGTAATTTAGCACAAGTACCAAAAACTGCCTCAGAAACAAATACTTGCCATAGTTTTATTACAGCTGGTTTTGTGAAAGTCCCAAGTACACGGTGAGTACCAACAGAAAGCAGAGAAAGCCCAGCTACTATCTTTGATGACCATCGAGCATCTCTATAAAAAGAAACCCGAATTCTACCTTCTAGATATTTAGTCTGAACAGAAAAGCCAGTGTGTATCAGGATGTCCAGCCCTGGGATGTCTGAGGCAGGAGGATCTTGAGTTTGAGGCCAACCTGTGCTACATAGTGAGCCCCTGTCTAAAAAGGAACAAAAAAAACAATGGCTTACAATTTAGGTCAGTAACAGATCATTTGCCTAGTATGCACAAGGTCCCCCAGCACTGGGGGGGAAAAAAGAGGAAGGAAAGGAGGGAGGGAGGGAGAGGGGAAAGAAAAGCCAGTGTTAGCCAGTGTGGTGATGCAATCTTAGAATCCCAGCGCTTGAGTTTAAGGCCAACCTGAGCTACATAGCAAGACTCTGTCTCAACTGAAAACAAAAAATCAATTTTTGATTAAAAAAAAAAAGAAGAAAAGTCATTGATTGTTAAGATTTTCCTTTTCCTCACAAAATTCTCCAAACAAGTAATGAGGGAAATAAGATAAATGTATTCAACTTCTTACTCAGGCGGGTACAGTCATAATATCTGTAATTAAGATGTGAGTGGCTAAGCTTATGTAATAATTCTCAAGCATAACTTAATCCATTAAATTCTAAGACGTGAAGTTCTTTACTTTTTCAAACACAAGTTCCTTTTAATTCCAATTTTTAACTAATTCAGATTGGGCTGTCTATGAAATACCCAAATTAAGGGAGCATTTCTCAAATACATCTAAATCTCAAGTCCTGAGGATATGTTGTTTCCTCCTGTGGTCCCTTCCTGAGAATTCTGGATTATAATGCGGGTCTTGGGCTTCCCCTTTCCTGAAATTTAAGTTATTCTCAAAGCCATGTTGTATGCCTGTGGTTTGTAATCTCCTTCACAAGGTGCTTCTCCCTAAGTGCCGTGCCTTTTATACTTGAGCCATGTTGTAACTCGGCACCGCTTTTCTAGTTTTCACCTGTCTGCTTTATAAATCTGCTCTGGTCTTTTATTTATGAGAAAGGTACTGCTTTCTGTCCCTCCTCTGTTGTATGTATAAATGAGCCACCTGTCGATTTCCAGTTTTCAAAATGATCTGTGTGGACTTTTAATTGTACTAATAAAGTGACCGTGAGTGTCAGACACCATGCCTTGTATTAGCAGGGTCAGTTTTCCAGGTACTGACTCCACATCTCACTTGATCGTTCTAGGGGGAGGAGAGGGAGGTGCTCTTCTCCTTTCAGTTCTCTGATGTTCATCCTGTTCCTCTTTTGTTTGCTTTTATGTTCCGTTGTCCCCTTTCAGGAGCAGTTATGTTTGCCTCTTCACATTTTAGAAGAGAAAGGGTTGAGCCAGGTTGCAGTGACTGTCCAGGCTCTCCTGGAACTTGCTCCACCCAAGCAGCAGCAGCACCAGCTCTCTGCTGTCTGAGGACTTCCCGGACCTTGGGCCTTGGCCTGGCCAAAATAAGAAACAGAACGTGGAGCTGCTGCCTGCCGTCTGCTTAAACAAAGCTCTTCTGCGTTCTTAGAAGGGACTGTCTCCATCATTCCTGCCAGGAATGTTTTGCTTCATTTCTCCATTTTAGGGGAGGTTAAACCCATTTCCACTGTTTTGTTTTAATGAAGACACAGTTTTCCTAAGTGGAATTTCTCATCACTGAGACCCCAACACCAAAGCCTAAGCTGGCTGTGCTTTCCTCCTAGTGGAGGGTTGTTTTACATGCCAGAGACAGTGCCTTCCCAGACAGGTATTTAGCTCTCTGGAAGGCACAGACATGCCATTATCTTGGCCAGTACCCCAGGCATCAAAGGCTCACTGGTATCCACTGTTGGGCTTTATTCTCCAGGAACATTTGTCAAATTCCAACTTGTATCAGTAGTGCTGGGCCAAAGCCTGCATTTTCAACAGACACTGCAGGTAGTAGAGACCACTGTTCGAGCCACAGAGTTGTAGTTTGAAGCGACTGCCCTACTGCTTCTAAAACCAAAGGCTGTATTATAATGACTTGGACTGTTCTGTTAAAGACAAAGCAAAAATAATATTTTGCACAGTAAACAGGTGTTTAAAACCAGTGTCCCAGGCCTCTCCCCAACCCTGCCCACCACAACCCATCTTTTTCGTAGAGGATGGTTCTGTGCATCATCCTATTTTCTAAATAGACGAGCGCTCTACACACAGGTTCCAGGTCTGTGAGGTGTACCACTGGGCATCATTTACTTGTGCTTCCAGAGCGCCCCCACCCCCATTCTGCTCCCAAGACCCTTGGACCTGCAGACACATTCCAGGACAGCAGACACACTTCAGCTCCCCAAACAGTGGATGACTGAAAACGAAGCAAAAAGAACTGAAGGAAAAGCCAAGTTTCTTCTGCTTTCAGGTAACAGCCAGTTTCCCTAGCTGAGTGAAAGCACTTAGAGCAGCTTCCTGTCCTTCATCCAGCCCCTCATCCCCACCGCCAGTGCCTTAGACCCGGCTTTGGTACAAAGCAGAAGGGCCAAAGGCCCACAGCACAGAGAGGGCATCTTTAGAGGTTTCTTCTTGCCCTGTATTTTGCGCCCTTTTTCGTTAGTTGTGTCTTTGATGTTCACTGAGGTTGTAAACCAAATAGACTAAGTTAAGCTGTTTGTTTCATAGGGTTTTTTCCTAGAGTTAACAGTTATGACTTTTGTTTACCAAGGTTTGCATTTGAGAACAGTATTGTCCCTATGCAGCAGTAACAAATAACATGGCTACCAGAGGCCCTGGGTTCAATCTTCTGCACCTTCTAAAATGAGGTGCTGGTGGTACACAAGCCTGTAGCCCCAGACACTCCAGTGGAAGCTGAAGAATCAGAACACTGAGTCCATGCTGGGCCTCAGCCGGTTACGTAAGACCCTGTCTAAAAGCAACAGAACGGGCTGGAGGCTCAGTGGTTAAGAGCACTGGCTGCTCTTGCAGAAGACCTGGGTTTGGCCCCAGCACCCACATGACAGCTAACAAGTGTCTGTAGCTCCAGTTACAGGGGATCTGGTGTCCTCATCTGGCCTCCTGCATGATACAGATGCACTTACTGTAGACAAAACACTCAATACACAAAAATAATAGCATCTAAAAAGAGAAAGAAAAGTTAGAGCCTTTAAAAGTAAATTTTAAAATCATTTTGACTGCCAGGCGTGGTGGCACACGCCTTTAATCCCAGCACTCGGGAGGCAGAGGCAGGTGGATCTCTGTGTGTTCAAGGCCAGCCTGGTCTACATAGTGAGTTCCAGGACAGCTGGGGCTACAGGGAGACCCTGTCTCATAAAGACCCCAAGGGAAAAAAAAAAAATCATTTTGACTATCTGCAGAGAAATGGTGTTTATTAGAACATTACCACTTTATCCAAGTTGAGAATTATATAACAGAATCTGGGCATATTGACACATGCCTGTGACCCTAGCACTCAGGATGCTGAGGCAGGAGGATCGTGAGTTCCAGGCTAACCTGGGCTATATAGCAAGACTGTGTCTCAAGAAAAAATAGCCAGGTATAGTGGTACACAATTTCAATCCCAGCTCTCAGGAGGCAGAGGCAGGTAGATCTCTGTGAGTTGCAGACCAGCCTGTTCTACACAAGTTCCAGGCCAGTTAGGGCAACATAGTGAGACCCTGTCACAAAAATACAAAAGTAAGTATAATATAAAACATTTGAGCTCCAGCCCAGTTGTTCAGGGCCTCACAGAACAAAGTAAAATGTCTTAGGCCTACAGCCCAACCTCACTTATTTACAATTCCACACAGCCACCAACCATAGAACTTGTTTAGAACTTAGCAGTGTGTCTGAACTATAGGTATTTTTTCCTTCTACTCAACATTAACCCTCAGTACAATCCCTAAATTATAGATTTTAATATTGTGTAGGAAAATGAATCCAGAAGACATTATGTAATGCAGCACCTGCAATACCTACGACTAATTTTCCATAAGAGTTAAATTTCCACATTGCAATTTTTGCATTAATATGAAAACTTGATGTAATCTTATCAAACTAACTCAACTTTGAATTATTAAAAATCTGTACACTCTTACCCACAGTAAGGACAAACAGTGTGTTGCCAGTTTTTCGGTGCTGGCACACAGAAACAAATCACAATGCTTCTGTTAGAGAATGTGGCCAGCATTTTACATGTATGATTTTTTAAATTGGAAAGGATTCAATTTAGTATTTCACCTTGATAGACTTCAGTGTGACCTTGCCCGCACTGAAAATGGGCAAGCCAAGTGGCTGCCTAGCCCGCACCTGCCACCTACAGAGATTTTGTGTCAGCAGTTTGCAGGCTTTCAAAGGTATCTCTGCTTAGCACTCCAAACCAGTATTTCCCATAACAAGCAGGTCTGGAAACAACTCATGGGAAGAGGAGCCTCTGTATGTGGCCAGACCATACTAGGAAAAGGTGGGGTTAGTGGGTCACTCTCCTTAGCAGCTTTTTAAACACACCTTCCAACCAATCAAGGGGCCTGTAATTTCTTTTGCTTCCTCTAGTCAGCAGTGACTAATAACATGTGAGTATGCCATGAATATGATGAATTTTAAGAACTAAGTACTTAAATGGTTATAGAAATGGAGGAAAACTTGGTTATTTAGAAGCCTTTTTATACACATGGTGCAGTGAGATGGTTTACAGCAGATTTCATTTTATTTCTGAAAATGTTATAAACATGTAATTAGTAAAAGCTTTTGTAAACATTGTTCTATATTTGTATGTCTGTAAATATACTGCCTAAGTTCTAAGTAGAAATATGTCAGTATTGTGTATGTTATTTTAAGTTGCCTGTATGCCATCTTACATGTTGACTTTTAAAAATAAAAGCCAATATTTCAATAGCATGTAATAAAGTTTTGAAAATGTTCAAACCTAAAGCATGGTTTCCTTGGCAAAGAGGAAGCAGAGAAAAGGTGTCTGACACACTAGAAGAACCTCCCTTAAAATGTTCTTCTGGGGCTGGAGAGATGGCTCAGTGGTTTAAGAGCACTGGCTGCTTTTGCAGAGGACCTGGGTTTGTTTCCCAGGGGACCTGACATCCTCTTCTGGCTTCCGTGGACATTGTATGCACATGGTACACTTATACACATGCAGGCAAAACATTCATACACATAAAATAATAAAAAGTGTGCCTTTGAGGTTAAAATTCCATTTCTTAAGGAATATCAGGATAGCTTTGTAATTGCAGTGGAATTGAAAGGCTCAGTTGAGGCTGGGGATTAAGCTCAGTTGAGTGCCTACCCTGTAAGCACAAGGCCCTGGGTTCCATCCCCAAAACTTCATCGACCAGGTGTGGTGTTGCATGCCTATAACCCCAGCACGAGGAGGATCTGGAGTTCAAGGCCAACCTAGGCTACATGAGACCCTGTCTCAAAAAATTTTTTTTTAATTTATGAAATACATGAGACACATTAAGACAACTTTTCTTGGGCTGAAGAGATGACTCACTGGTAAGAGCACTAAAGTTTGGTTCCCAGCATCCACATAGGGTGGCTCACAACTGCTGGAACTCCAGCTTTAAGGGGCCCTCTTCTGGCTTCTATGGGCATCTGTGTACACATGGCACAGACACAAAGACACACAAATGTAAATATTAGAAAAAATTTTTCTGTCATTAATAACCAGCTGAGAGTCGAAAAGATGGCTCATCAGGTTAAAGGCACTTGTCACTGCCTGCTTGACCTGTGTTTGATCCCTAGGACCCACATGGTGGGTCTTCTGATGTCCACACGTGCCCATACACACACATAATAAACAAATGTAATGAAGGAAGTGGGTAAAAGTGCTTCTTGCACAAACTTGGTGAGCTGATTCCCAGAACTCATGAGAAGATGGAAAAAGAAAACTAACGCCACAAAGTTGTCCTCTGACCTCTGAGCATACATGCACACATACACTTGAGTGCGTGCACACATGCACACACACACAGAGGAAGGGGAGGGAGAGAGGGAGAAAGAGGAAAGGACAGGAGAAGGGAGGGAGAGAGAAGGAAGGAACAAAGTATACTGTACAGAAAGTTTTAGCCTCCCAAGAAGCTTAAATTATTTGACTTGCATTATTTGACTTTCTGAGATAGGGTCTCTCTATAGCCCCCAGCTAGCCTGGAACTCACTATGTAGACCAGGCTGGCCTCCATCTCAGATCAGCCTGCCTCTGCCTCCCTAGTAACTGGGATTAAAGGTGTGCATCACCAGGACCAGCTCTAAGACATTCCTTTTTGATAAATTAAGGCAAGCATAGTGGACTCAGTTTGGTTTTGGTTTTTGTGCCAGGGTCTCACCCAAGTAGCCCTAGGTATCTTGGAATTCTGTGTAGATCAGGCTGGCCTTTAATTCACAGAGATCTACCTGCTTCTCCCTCCCTGAGTGTTGGGATTGAAGGTTACCACTCCCCACTTGTCTGTCTGTCCACTGGTTTTGTTTGTGGTTTGGGTTTTGTTTTGAGACAGAGCCTCACTAAGCAGCCCTGGCAGACTTGGAGAGCCACCTGCCTCTGCTCCGGGGTTCTGGGATTAAAGGTGTACACCACTGCACCCTGCAGGCTTACTGTTTTGTGGGTTTTGTTTTGTGTGTGCATTTTGTTTTATGGAAATGCTTCTGTGTCATGAAAGGACTGCAGAGGCCAGAAGAGGGTGTCAGGTCCCCTAGAACTGGAGATATATACAGTTGTTAGCTGTCATGTGGGTGCTGGGAACTAAACCCAGGTCCTCTACAAGAGCAACCAGTGCACTTAATGGCTGAGCCATCTCTCCAGCCCAAGACTCACTATCTTTAAGGGAAAGAGAACTGTAAGCAGTCAGCTTTACTGTGTGCCATATCAGGTTAGCTGTTTTCACATAGCTTATCTCATTCAGTCTTAATATCCCAGAAGATGGAAATATTTCTCTCATCAAAAATATCTAAACTAGCCTTTCAAAGAACCTGTGTCCCCATCTTTACCACTGGTGGACTGTGCATCCCAACACCCCATTTCTCACCTATATTTACCACTTATATCCCTGCCTAGTCCCAGAAAAGTTGCTGGAGCAACTTATGGTAGAAGGTGCATTTCTGTGGCATCTCCCAATAACATCAACAGTATAAAATGACAGTAAAGCTATGAGATAGGCAAGAAGCAACATTTTATTAAACTGCCATATACATATATGCTAGATGATAACTATAAATGGTACCTTGGAATTTTTTTTAATTTTTATTTATATGTACGTAAGTACATGCTATGTGTGTATGGGCTCCTGTGGAAAAGCCAACAGAAGAAAACAGAATAGGCAAAGGAAATCCCCTAGTGTCACCCGGAGGCAAACAACCCCGAGGCCTTTCCAGACACCAGAGGGAAGGGCAGCAGTCTGGTCACTTCTTGCCTCTCCTTTTCTTCTTGCCTTTGTCTTTTGAAGCTTTGCTGCCGTCTTTTCCTTTCTTGGGCATTTTGAAACCTCCAATTTCCCTCCGTACCACTGTGCCCCGCCACCAGGCCTGGAGCTGGAAGACAGAAGGGAGTTAGTTCATTTTAATGTGCCTAATGGCACTCTGTGCTTTCCACAGAAGGGAGAACCGTTTAATGCTGTTGCTGTGTCTGAAGAAGTCTCTGAGACAGACGAGACCGGCTACTGTCACACAGTCATGCTCCCATGTGGCGCCTGACCCTGAGCTTGGGCCACCGACTCAGGAAATTCTCAAGGAATGAAAATAAGTTGACAGGCCAAGTTTTCCTTCAGACTTAGTTTTGTTTTGTGTTTTGGTTTGGTTTATTGTTTTGTGTTGTGTTTTTATGTGTGCGTGTTGTGTTGTATTTTGGTTTGGTTTGGTTTTTTGTTTTGTTGAAACAGGGTCTCCCTGTAGCACCAACTGACCTGGAACTCACTATGCAGACCAGGCTGGCCTTGAACTCAGGGATCCTCCTGCTTCTGCCTCCCAGTGCTGGGACTAAAGGCATCCTTCAGACTTAGAAGCCTAACTTCCCCTTGTAAACACCCACACCTAACAGTCATCTGATCCAAAGAGAATGTGAGGGGTTGGAGATTTAGCTCAGTGGTAGAGCGCTTGCTTAGCAAGCACAAGGCCCTGGGTTTGGTCCCCAGCTCTGGGAAGAAAAAAAAAAAATAACAAAGAGAATGTCAGTTACCTGCACTCAGTCAAAGAAGTCTAAATTAGGCTCATGTTTCCTGATGCATCTCATATCTTTGGGGGTCAATTAAAAGGTCAGTTCTCGCTTTAGTCCCAGCACTCTGGAGGCAGAGGCAAGTGGATCTCTGTGAGTTCAAGGCCAGCCTGGTCTGCATAGTGAGTTCCAGGCCAGCTGGGGCTACAGGGAGACCCTGCCTAAAAAGGACAAAAAAAAGGTCTTTTTCCAAAAGTTAGTTCCCTTGAATGTCTTTATCATTTGGTAGAACTGTTCTGAACAGGCTAGGCTACTTTAAAACACTAGACTTGCCAACTGTGAGTGAATCCACTAATAATGAAAAGAAAATCAAAACCAAAGTAGTCCAGCTAGTTCTTCAATCTAAATTGAAGAATCTTGACAAACAGAAAGCACATAAGTCTGATAAATATTGCCAGTTATACATCTGATTCTTCTAACAGAAAGATCAAAGATAAGTTTGGATGCCTGGTACTTAAACATTCTCATCCTACCCTTAGAGCTGTGGCTCAGTGGTAAAAGGCTTGTGTCTGGCATGCATGGGGTCCTGGGTTCGAGCCCCAGTGCCACAAAACAAACTAGACATGCATGATGATAGACACCTGCAATGTCAGCACTTGAAAGGTAAAAGCAGGAGGATTGGGAGGTCAGGGACAGCCTGAGCTACATAAAACCTAACTCAAAAAAAAAAAAAAAAAAAAAAAAAAAAAAAAAAAAGCTTTCTTTTTTAGACACTCCCTAAATTATACATCTCAAACTAGAGTTCCCCCTGGCCAAAGAGGTTTCTCAGAGAACGGTGCTTTTCCAGGCATCACGTTTCAAGCTAGGTGCTAGTATTTCTGCATTACAGCTTTTGCTTTAAAATACTTTCCAGAGTGATGGCCATGGTGGCACACACCTGTAGTCCCAGCACTCGGGAGGCAGAAGCTGGGGGATCTCTGTGAGTTTGAGGACAGTCTGGTCTACATAGTGAGTTCCAGGCCAGCCTGGACTACATAGTGAGACCTTGTTTCAAAAAAAAAACAAACAAGCCTCACATGGCGCATGCCTTTAATCCCAGGTAAAGGCAGGCAGAGCTCTGTGAGTTCAAGACCAGCCTGGTCTACATAGTGAATTCCAGGTCAGTTGGAGCTACAGGAAGTCCTGTCTCAAAAAGACCAAAAAAAAAAAAAAAAAAATCTGTGACCTGATAGTTTTGTCATTATTAATACATCCCAGAGTTCATGAAGCTAAAGTATTTCAGCCAAGCTGAGGTAAGAAGAGTACGATTACAAGTTCAAGGCCACTGCGGGCTACATGGTGAGTTCCACATCAACCAGTGCTACAGTGTAAGACTCACAAAAAAATAAGAAACTCCCCCAAAGTTTGTATTTTCCTAATTTGTTTATTCTGCCTTTTTTTTAAAGCAGCTTTTATCAGAATGCTGCAGAGGGAGGAAGCTGACTATACAGGATGTTAAGGAGCAATAGGATGTTCAAGAAAATCTGTCCTGCCCGGGGATGCATCAGATGAGGAGTCATGTTCTCAAGTCTGATCCTGGGCCTCAGGCTTTGCTTCCCTCACCAGCTCCTCCCCAGGTCAAGAGCTGGGCTTGCTCTTTTCTGTGTAGTTTCTCCCTGCACTGGGACTGCAGGCGGACTCTAGTAGGAACTAAAGGACACACTTCCTCACACATGCTCCTGGCAAGCTGCTGTGCATCTGATGATGAAATGCCTGTTCTGGATCAGCTAAGGCAATGACAGGAGACCCCAAGGTATCAAGGTTAGTTTTTTACCTTTATGATACTCTTCAGTTCCAACTCATCCTGCTCTATCTTCTTCCTGATCTTCTCCTTTTCTATCTGGTCTTCAGTAATGACTTGCTCATACTCTCTGATCTGTAAGAGTAGACATGGGTCACAGCTAGTGATGACCCAGCCAGTCCTGCACCAGTGAGATACCAGTGAGATGGCTCAGCTAGTAAAGGCTCTTGCTGACAAGCCTGAATTTGACCCCTGGACATGATGGACAATTCCTGTAAGCCATCTTCTGACCTCCACATGCATGCTGTGGCACTTGCAACCCCCCCACACACACATAGATAAAATGTAATAAAAATTCTAAAAAATAAAAATAAAGCATGCTAAATATAAGCCAAATATGGTAGTACATACCAGGAATCCCAGCACCTAGGAGACAGAGACAAGAGGATTGCCACAAACACAAAGTCAGTCTGGTCTACATAGCAAGTACCACATTAGCAAGGTTTATAGAATGAATGCCTATCGCAAAAGTAAGCAAAACAAAACAAAATCTTACTGCATTCCCGGACTGTATATATTCATGCTAACTTTATACATGTTCCTCGATTTTTTTTTTTCAATTTGAACAAGTTAAATTTACACTTTAAAATTGTTCATAAACTAGCCAGGCATGGTGGTACAGGAAGCAGAGGCAGGCAGATCTCTGTGAGATCAAGGCCCGCCTGGTCTACATACCAAGTTCCAGGCCAGCCAGGGAAACCATGTCAAAAAAAAAAATTGTTCATAAAGATGAAATACCAAACCAGGCACGGAGGCATACACCTATAATCCCAGAATTCAGGAAGCAGAGGCAAGAGAATTACAGCAGGTTCAAGGCCAGCCTGGTCTGCATATCAAGACCCTGTCTCAAAACTAAAAAAAGATGGGGGCTGGAGAGATGGCTCAGCAGTTAAGAGTGCTGGCTGCTCTTGCAGAGGACCCAGATACGTTTCCCAGCACCCACATAGTGGCTATCTGTAACTCCAGTTCCAGGAGATCTGATGCCCTCTTCTGACCTCTAAGGGCACTGTACAATACAGGTGCACTTACCTACATGCAGGCAGTATATATTTTTTTAAAAAAGATGAAATATTAATTGTGTGTGATTAGTGACCCCAAGGTAATATAATTTTTAAAACTTTGGTAGAACATATATTTGCAAATAAATAGCCACCTTTTAAGAGAGGAATTTACTACACGCACCTAGTGATGAAGGCACAGTCAGAAGTTTTTTAGTAATCGCCATTTACAAATTGTCTTTATAGATAATAGATAATAGTAGTATATCTATCTCAAGGAATAGGGTTTGAGTAAATCATACTAAAATACTAAAAGAGTACCTGGGCTGAGCACGGTGGCTTACACCTATAACCCTAGCACTTGGAAGGCTAAGGCAGGATCAGTACATAAAGGCTAGCCTGAGCTACAAAGACCCAAACTCTAAAAACAAAAGTGTGTCCCAGACATCGTGTAAGCATGACTGCCCTGTCCTCATCATCATTATCTAGGAAGAACCCCATTTGTCTACAGCCTAACCTCGACTTTTGACCAAAACCAGTGCTCCCCAGCTTGGCTACCACTCAATCCTCAGGGAGTACACTCCATTTCCTTACCATCTTTGCTAGGTCTTGAAGTTGTGACAGGTCACTGGCCTTGGCAGCCTGGAGAGCATTTAACTCATTCTGTTTTGTTTCTGTGTCTTTATCAAACTTCTCCATCCAGAACTCTAGCTTCTTCTCAAGTTTCTGTTTGGAAAAAACATTAAAACATGGCTTTCACCAGGCACAAAATATCAGATACTGCATGATACCATTTACAGAAGTTCAAGAACAAGTCAAAAATACACATATACACCGAATTTAAATATTTTATTTATTTTTTTCTGTGTATGAGTGTATTGCCTGCATGTACGTAAGTGCACCCGTGTCATGCAATGCACACGGGGGTCAGAAGAGGGCGTCGGATGACCTGGAACTGGAGTTATGGACAGTTGTTAGCTGCCATGTGGGTGCTGGGATTCGAACCTGGGTCTTGTGCAAGAACAACTAGTGTTCTTAATCACTGAGCCATCTCTCCAGACCATGTAAAAAAAATTTTTAAAGAATATAGCACACAGTGTACACTATGAAATCAGTATTGAGACAAAGTGAATTCTTTTCTAAGAAAACATGTTACAAAAAGAATTGCTTGGATTTGGTGAGGAAATGAATAATCATTTTATGCAGTCAAACGTTTCCCTTTAAAAATATGAGACACTCAAAGCTGGAAAGATGGCTCAGCGATTAAGAGCACTGACTGCTCTTGCAGAGGACTAGGGTTTAATTCCCAGCATCCACATGGCGGCTAACGACGGTCTATAGCTCCAGTTCCAAGGGATTTGATGCCTTCTTCCAACCTCCATGCACACTGCATGACACAGGTGCACAACATACAGGCAATGCACTCATACACATAAAAATTTAAAATAAAAAATAATAAAAATGACACATATCCCATTTCACACATAAAAAGACAAGAAAACACAATGATACCAGATGAAACTGTTTGAATATTTCTAAGCTTTGAGGAGCTGGTACTGTTTTATTCCGTTTGTATTTGCAGGTTTCAGAGCATGAAAAAATGCAGTTTCCACACTGTGCTGCTAGGCTATTACAGCTCTGGAAGCAGCACAAAAGAGTGTAAGAGAGTTATAGGTGCCAAATAAAATGTAAATCAGTCCTAGTGATCACCTAACAGTATGCCACCACCAGGTAGAGTTTATCCTGGGAATTTAAAAGTGACTTGACATCAGCAAATGTATTAATGCATTTCCTTTATGAACATATTAAAGGTAAAAATTATATCTTTATGGATGAAAAACTCTGCCTCTTAAACTGAGTATTCATTGATTTAAAAAAAAAAAGAAAAAAAAACCCACCTTTGACAAGAAATTCCTTTATGTTCCAGGAACACCCAGAATAACCCTCATACCTGATCAGAGAAAAGCTACCTCATTTGTGTCAGTTACCACCTGACTGCCTCTTAGCTCCAAGCTCACCCTTCCTGGCCTGGAGGCCTTGCTGATGTCTCTTTGGCCACCTAACAAACTACTAAACTTGGGCAGTAGAGGATGCTAGGGGCATGGGCAGGAAGGCTTCTCACCAGGCTGTGGTTGTTGCTATGGTTCTTGGGACACACAGCTAGTAATGTGAGACACCCAGTGGCACCCACTCACCAGCACATTTCACTAACAACCACAGCATCTGCTTGCCATATAAACTATGACAAGATAAGTCCAATCCCAAGAATCTAAAGGACTCAATAACAGTAAATCTATTAATGTTTTACTTTACTAATATATTAAAGGAGAAAAAAACAACTCAAGGCATGAAAATAGTCTCTCTGGGGGTTGGGGATCTCTCCAGTGGTTAAGAACACTGGCTGTTCTTGCAGAAGATCCGGGTTCAAATCCAAACACCCACATGACACTAACAACTGTCTGTAACTCCAGTTCCAGGAGATCCAACAGCCTCTTCTGTCCTCCGAGGGCATTGCATGACATGGATGCACTTACCTACATGCAGGCAATATACACAATACACATAAAAAAATAATAAATATTTAAAAAGAAAGAAAATAGTCTATCTTATATAACTGAGTGTTCATCTGATTTAAATTTTTAAACCTATTTATTTTATAAGTATGTGTATGCCTGAGTCTGTGTATGTGCAACACATGCATGCAGGTGGATGTGAACTACCACATGGATGCTGGGAACTGAACGTTGGTCCTCTGGAAGAACAGTGACCACTGAGCCATCTCTCCAGCCCCTACTCATCTGATTTTAAAAGATGAAGAAACAAAACAAACCACTTAAGCCAGTCACTGCACACTGCTGTCATTCCAGCATTCAGGAGGCTGAGGCAGGATCAAGAGTTGGAGGTCAACATGGGCTACACAGTGAGAACCACCTCAAAAAAAGAAAAAGAGAGGCTGGAGAGAGGGCTCAACAGTTAAGACTCTGTACAGCTCTTGCATAGAACCCCAGTTCAGTTCCCAGCATTCATATCAGGTAGCTCATGACCAGCCTGTAACTTCAGCTTCAAGCAATCTGACACCTCTGGCCTCTGTGGGCATCTGCACTCATGTACAGGCACATATACACATAATTAAAAGTAATAAAAAATAAAACATCGAAGCCGGGCGTGGTGGCGCACACCTTTAATCCTAGGACTTGGGAGGCAGAGGCAGGCGGACCTCTGTGAGTTCAAGGCCAGCCTGGTCTACATAGTGAGTTCCAGGACAGTTGGGGCTACAAAGAGACCCTATCTCAAAAAGACCAAAAGTAGTAATTATAAAAAATAAAAAATTCAAGAAAAACCATTAGCAAAGTCTACAGTTTCCTGCCTGCCAACTTTATCCTGACTTCTGGTCACCCAGCAAAACTCTCTTGCCACTCTGGAGGCCATACCACACCCTTCCCAATGAGGTTGAATCTTAGTCTTGGGAAGGGTCTTCCCCCTTCCAGTTTCTTTCTTTCTTAACACTGTCAATCAGTCCTACCATATTCTTCAGAGCTCTCTTTAATCCCTTGTTACTAGCTCATAATTCTTTCATTAAATTTGTTTAAATTATTGACATAGTTTCTGTTACTTAAATGAATCATTAATCATACAGAATTGGTGCCAGAAATGGAGCTTATCCCCCATCTGCCAGTTCACATGTCTTAGTAAAATCATCTGCAGTCCCTGTTACACCCAGTTCATGAGATATAACAGCACTGTGTCATGAACACGATAGAAGTTGTGACATCTGTGCAGTGTCAAAGCAAACCGTATCTCTGTGGACCACACTGTGAGAGAGAACAGGAGAACTGACAGCCCTGAGGTGAGACTAAGAAGGTAACTGTTAGCCCTGCTGCTGGACGCAAGCTGCTTCTAGCAGGTGTTTTCGAACTGGTTTGGAGACAGAAGCTTTGATGAGGCTAACAGCTGTACCAGGTATCAGAGGCTGCTGACTATGCACCAGGAGAAACACTAGAACAGTATCTGAAGTTGGAGTCGCTGCAGGCCTAGCCTTTAGAGCCCCATTAGCTCCACTGAACTTGGGGCCCAACTCAATGATGACACAACCCCACAGCCATACCTGGCCCACAGATGAAAGCACCCAGAGTACCAAGTGGCTTCCTGCAGTACCCCCCACCCCCCCATGCCACTCTTTGCTGCCAGACTGTTACCATCATGGGTCACATGCATGGTCTCAGGAAGGGCTTATCCTAAAGTCACAGCGCTCACACCTGGCTGAGGTTGGTGCCTAATAACGTGAAAGCGCAGATTTACAAATGGGGTACTCTCATGCTGTTGCCCAAGGATTCCTGAGACTCCTGCAGTCCAAAGGACTTGCCTCTGAGCCTCCTGAGGAGCTCTGCCATCCAGTTAAGAAAGCAGTTGCTGTTCACAAGCATCCTGAGAGGAGCAGAAAGGATAAGGCTACTAAATTCCACCTGATTCTAACAGAAAGTCAAATTCACGACTGGCTACTCTAAGACCAAGCAGGTCCTCCCCGGAACTGGAAATGAGTGTGATCCACAGCATAAATCTGTCTTGTGTGCTTGAGGAATAGGATCAGTTAAAAAAAAAACAAAACAGAGCTATATAAGGTTGGAGACGTGCCCTCACCCATGTGCTCCTCAGTGCCCTCATACAGGAGTGCCTACAGGGCCTTCTTGTGCTTAAGATGGGTGCTTGGTGGTGGATGTGTAGGCTGCACATAAATTCCCTGTGGCATGCCTACCCAGCCTTTGGGTTCTCAGCTCCTTGTCATGGGGCGGGGGAGCTCTGGCACCTCCACCTCCTTATATTTAGGCAGCTGCTGAGTCTAGCCAATCAAGCACAGCTCCACAGGAAGTGCCCAGCGTTCCGGCACTGCGTCTGCATCACTGTATTCGGCCCATCTAGCCTGACATTCCGGCCAACACCTCCCACACATGTTCCTCAGCTTTTTGACAAGGTATACCAGCAAAATAGTACCATTATTTTTCCCTCGCTTATAGCTGTCTGAGTCTTATGTGCCCCTCCAGCATGCTGAGAACTGACCCTACTCACAGACCCAGAAGTGTGTGCAGGGTCTGAAGATGGAGCACCCCTTTTCAAGACATTACTACAGATGAAGATATAAAAGTTTCTGACAAAGGAAGTCTAGTCTCCTTAGACACAGGAGGGCAGGTTATTTCTACCACTAAGGAAGCCTTAAAATGAAGGGGTTCAATCCTGTTCATTTTACTTCAATCCAACTAGGCTTCATTGTCCCATTCTTTCCCAGTGAATGCCCTAACTTAGACAGAAAACTTGGCATGGCTATGCATTTATGTGCAATCCTGACCAAGACACCATTAAAATCCAGAATAAAAAAAAATAATACTGCATAGCTAGACACATCGTGGCACATGCCTTTAATCTCAGCACTCGGGAAGTAGAGGTAGGCAGATTTCTGTAAGGTAAAGGCCAGCCTGGTCTACACAGTGAGACCCTATCTCAAGGGGACGGAAGGAAGGGAGGAGGGAGATTCATCATCACTACTGCTAAGCAATATTACACTTTCTTTTTTATTATTATTTTTACTTTATGTGTCTGAGTATATTGTCTGCATGTATGTAAGTGCACCTGTGTCATGCAATGCCCAGAAGTCAGAAAAGGACGTCAGAGTCCCTGGAACTGGAGTTACTGATGGTTGCATTAGCTATCATGTGGATGCTGGGAATCAAACCCAGGTCCTATGCAAGAGCAGTCAGTGCTCTTAATTCCTGAGCTATCTCTCCAGGCCCAGCAATATTACACTCCCTGTAGCTCTAGCTGCCTGGAACTCACTCTGTAGACCAGGCTGGCCTCGAACTCACAGAGATCTACCTGCCTCTGCCTCCCAAGTGCTGGGACTAAAGGCCTGCGCCACCATGCCCGGCTTCTTTTTTTAAAAAATATTTTATTCATTATTTTTACTTTATGTGTATGCATGTATTGCCTGCATGTAGGTAAGTGCACCCATGTTGTGCAGTGCCCGCAGAGGTCAGAAGAGGCTGTTGGATCCCCTGGGACTGTAGTTATGGACAATTGTTAGCTGCCATGTGGGTGCTGGGATCGAACCCGGGCTTTCTGCAAGAACAACCAGTGTTCTTAACTGCTGAGCCATCTCTCCAGCCCCTATATTATACTTTCTAGCTGTACAATAAGCACTAAAATGGAACAGTCATACAAATGCTATAAAGGAAGATGTACCATTTTCAGTCAAGGAAATTATTTCTCTGGAAAATCCAAACGAATCAACTGAAAAATCATGATAACTAAGATGGCATGGAGTACAGAACCCAGAGCAACACACAGCTGAAGAGACCCCTCCACGCCGTGCACCTAGAGGCAGGTCTGAGAGTGCTCAGCATCGTTACAAATGCCAAAACTTGGGGCTGGAGAGATGGCTCAGGTAAGGGCACTTGGCTGTTCTTGCAGAGGGTGTGGGTCCAGTTCCCATCTGTATGTTGGCTCACAAGTGTCTATAACTTCAGTTTCAGGAGATTTTATGTTCTCTTCTGGTCTTTGCAGGCCCTGCATGCACATACATACATGCAGGCAAAACATTCATACACATAAAATAAAAATAAAATATTCTTTAGTAAAAGAAATGGGCTGGAGAGATGGCTCAGCAGTTAAGAGCACTGACTGCTCTTGTAGAAGACCAGATTCAGTTCGTAGCACCCACATGGTGGTTGTCTGTAATTTCAGCTCTAGGGATACAACACCTTCATCTGGCCTCTGCCAGTATTGCATGCACATGATACACATACATGGTGGCACAACACTCATACATATAAAATAAAAATACATCAGCCAGGTGTGGTGGCGCACGCCTTTAATCCCAGCACTCGGGAGGCAGAGGCAGGTGGATCTCTATGAGTTCAAGGCCAGCCTGGTCTACATAGTGAGCTCCAGGACAGCTGGGGCTACAGGAGACCCTGTCTCAAAAAGACCGAAAAAAGAAAAATCAGAAAGAAAGGAATAGCATAACTTGGAAACAATCTAAATGTTCACCAATTGAAGAACTATCACCTACTTTTAGGCATATTTCAACTATGGAATATTATATAGCAGCTATAGTGCTATTGAAACTTTCAAAAATTGGGGCTGGTGAGATGGCTTAGTATGCAGAGGCGCTTTCTATGGAAGCCTGATGATCTGAGTTTGATGCCCAGAACCCACAAAAAGGTGAAAGAGAGAACAGACTCCACAAAAGTTGTTCTCTGACATCCATAAGTGTGCTGTGGCACATGTACACACAAAATAATAAATAAATTTAATTTTAAAATAAACCTCATGGGGAGGCTAAAGGGTCACTCAGTGGTGAATGTGTGTTTAGGGCTCAATTCCCAAAACTGAAAAAAAAATGAAACAAAAACAAGAACAACTTATTGAGTTAATAGGTTTCAAAACATTTTCAGTGCCTAGTACTGTTGAAGATGATGCCTTGAAGACAGCCGGCAAGACGGTTCAGTGGGTAAAGATGCGTGTCACCAAGCTTGGTGTCCTGAGGTCAATCCTAGGAACCCACAAGGTGGAAGGAGAGATGCGAATCCCAGAAGTTGTCCTCTGACCTCCATCTGTATACCTGTGCACATGCACACAATAAACAAATTTGGGGGAAAATGTCTTGAAATTACTGCCTGCATATATTGCTAGTGACAAAATAGATTACCCAGTCATTACATAGACGTTTGGACTGGATTTCTGGTTCAGTGGTAAACCATTTGCCTAATGCATGCACAGACCCTGGGTTTCATCCCCAGCACCACAAAGGGGAAAAAAAAAATTAGATTTTTTTTTTTTTTTTTTTGGTTTTTTAAACCAAGTGCTGCTGCTTAGCCCCACTTTTCCTGAATCTCTCTGTATACCTGGACCTGACTTTGAACCGAAAGACACCCACCTGCCTCTGCCTCCCAAGTGCTGGGATTAAAGGCAATGTGCGACCACGCCCAGCAAAAGTAGAATATTTTTATTTTATGTGTATGCGTGTATGCCTGCACGTAGGTAAGTGCACCCATGTCATAAAGTGCTCTCGGAGAACAGAAGAGACTGTCGGATCCCCTGGAACTGGAGTTATGGACAGTTGTTAGCTGCTATGTGAGTGCTGGGATTCGAACACAGGTCTTCTGCAAGAACAACCATTGTTCTTAACCGTCGAGCCATCTCTCTAGCCCCATAAGTAGAATATTTTTAAATTGAGGAATAAAAATGTCTGGCGACTCACCTGCTGCTCTGTTTTAAGGAATGTCTCGATCGCCATATGAACCTGGTTCTCCTCTTCAGTTTTCATTCTTATTTTCTGTAACAGATTCAAACAGCAGGATTTCTACTCAACAAGGCTGGTTCAGCAGTTGTCGGGAATGGTGCTGCTGGAACCCCGGGAATGCCAAGGTTTTGCTCCACAGCTATGACGTGGCTCTATTCAACCCCATTTGCACTTCACGAACACTACAGAGCCATGGGCTAGCCCCTCCTTAGACAGGTACAAGGACTCCAGGAAAAACCCATCACAATCCCATAACATGGAATGCAGTGCTCCATGGACACAAGATTCTCAGCCTGGAGAAAAAAATCAGAGTGCAAGAGGTGGTCAGAGCCAGGCCATTGGTGACCAATGCCTGCAGTCCCAGAACTCCAGCAGCTGAGGCAGAGGATCAGTTTGAGGTCAGCCCCGGATTACAAAGTGAGTTTGAGGCCTGCCAGGGCTATAGGAAACCCTGTCTTGTTCTCTCTCTCTCTCTCTGTCTCTGTCTCTCTCTCTCTCTCTCTCTGTCTGTCTCTCTGTCTCTGTCTCTGTCTCTGTCTCTCTCTGT